GCCTCGCTCGGGATGGCACTGAGCCATGCGGCTGCGTGCGGCCCGGACTGCGAACGCAGCATGGCCTGGGCAGCGGGTGGCAAGGTAGGTATAACAGCTCGGTCTCGCGAAAGTGGGTAGAGCAGGCGCGGGAACCGTGATGCTGCCAACCTTGGCGCCTCTCGCCAGGTTCAGGCAGGGCGAACACCGTTATGTACATCGTGCCAAGAAGGGCGGCCTTGCCATCCGGCACCATCTAGCACGCAACCCGCCTCAGCGGCAGCACGCAAGCAGGCGGCAGCAGCAGCCGGACCTGCAGCGAGCTCGGCCAGGCACCTGGCGGCGGAGTCGGGGCGGCGCGCGCGCGCAGCACAGGCAGTGCGTCGGCCCATGCGAAAAAGTAAGCGGCAGGGGCGGTTCGCGCGGCACACTGCAAGCCAATTTAAGGCCTCCCGAACGAGCTGGCAGCAGCGCGAGACGGCGTGCTGCAGCGACCCCGGGATCAGCGTCGTCTTCTTCACCCAGCAGCGCGAGCAGGCATCGCCAGATTTGTTCCATCGGCATCGCCGTGTTTTGGTCGACAAGCATGTGTCCATCAAACTTCGCATGAAGTTTTGTAGAAGCAGACCGCACGACGACCAAAAGAGGAAGTGCACAGCCAAAGCTCCTTTTCCATATGCGCGTAGCACAGAGTATCGGCTAAAGGCCTTGAGAGGTCATGCAACAGCAGCGGCACAAAGAGCTTCGGAGCACATGCAGGATTTCTACATACCCTATATTTTAAGTTGCTGCGCAACCGTTGTGCTCAAAGAAGCTCAGCCAGCTTGCTTCTTGAAGAACGTAACCAGCACGCCGAATCTCTCCGAGAGTAGGCCATGCTGATTCGGAAGAGCCGTGTAGGCTTCGTCAGTCGAGAGCCGTCGCCACTGGTAGCAACCTGGAGGCTGTTCAACACGCCCAAAAGTGGTTCTGTACGAGTATTCGCTAGCAGAGAAGCGCGGCTCAGGAGTTCGAAAGCTGCGGGCGCCAAAAGCTACATTAACGCCCATCTGGTCCAAGTGGTGCCACCCCTTCTGCTCGCAGAGCTTGGAGAGGTAGCCCATGACAGGATCATTCCC